CAGGTGCATTCCATGGAATGTTGAGTGATTTACTGTTAATATGCACGAATAACCGTATCTCTCATTCCTTGAGTTCATTTTCATATCCACACTTAATACAGTGTTTGCTCATGGCAGACACCCTGATATGTGAAGAATGGTCACATGCTTTAACTTAACACTTAACTGTTTTTTTGTTCTGCTTTGTTTTCTTTTACTTTTTTTTAAATTTTGTTTTAAGCATGTGTGTGTTTTGCCTGCATGTGTGTCTGTGTACCACATACATATCTGATGCATGAAAAGGGTAGAAATGGGCATCATGTCCCATAGAACTGGAGTTACAGATACTTGTGAGCCACCATGTGGGTGCTAGGAACTGAATCCAGGTCCTCTACGAGAGCAGCCAGTGCATCTAATAGCCGAGCCATCTGTCTAGCCCTTTCTTTTCTGGAGAGACAAGGTGTCATGTCACTAACACTGGTCCTCTTGGCTCTCTGTCTCTTGAGTGGTGATGAAATTTCCCTAAAATTGCACTTTTCACTGTGTCCACTCTGCATTTTTAGTTATTTATTTTGTGCGGTGTGGAGAATTAACACCCGGTGTTTTGATAATAGGCACTTCACTATTAATTACATCCTGAGGACTCAACTCTTTAGATTTAATTTCCTGGTGGTGGTGGTAGTTTTACTTGACTAGCTCTCTCTAGGTAGCTCTGATTGTCTTCCAACTGTGTAGCCCCGACTGGTCTCAAACTGGCAGTGATCTCTTGTTTCTGCTTTCCAAATGGCACTATACTTGGCTTTTGAGTGTCTGGCTTATTCTACGGTTACAAGTTAGCTAGTGTCACCCTCCATGGATGAAAAAACTTTTCCTGTAGCCAGGGTTGTTAGGTGGCAGACCGGGACTGATTAGTGCCAAGGTCTGCTTCAAGTTCTACCCTGTTGCAGGGAAGAGTGGTCAGATAATCATTGTTTACCGATCCGGTAGTCAAGTCCCACGCCTGCCCAGTGCAAGTGTCTGTGTCACTGCGGACCTCCTCTGGAACAGAGAAGACCGGGCAATCTGGGGGAAACCTGACCACCAAGCCTGATAGGAATAATGTCCTTGTGATGAGTGTGCCTCACTGCTTTTAGGAACTCATCTCTGCTTGCCTTCTTGGCCTTACTAGCAGCCACTCTCTTGGAAACCCTGTTGTGTCAGCGAACCACTTTCCACATGAATTAGGCAGCAGAGCCCTGCCGAGTGGGAGTGAGCAGTCATAACTTGGTTCTCTCTAGCCAGATGACCGGTCTCTCCTAGTAGTAATGCCATTACAGCGTTCCCGTCCAGATCCCCATGGCCCAGTCATTGTTTTGGGAAGGAGTGCGGAGCTATCAGACACCAGCTGCTATAATTAGCAAAGGGAAAGCAGACGCTCACCAAGCTATCGTCTTAAGCTGTGGCGTTTACAGACCTTTTTAAAGTTAGGCAGCCGCCTCCTCGGTTTTGCTTCCTGAAATACAAGCTGTACGGTTAGGGGGTTTTTGCATTCCAGTTTTTGTTACTGCTGTGTGCTCTTCTCCCCCCCCAGTTTAATCAGAGAACAAATTGCTGTCAGCACATTGAGTTCATGTGCCAGCCACATTCAGAACAGGGTGTTCTGTGCTCTTCAAAACAAAATTGCTCCAGGGCAGTCAGAGAACAATAAGTCAGAGCTCCAGTGGAAATGGTGTTTTGCAGCGACCGGGCTCACTTGATGTGGTTACATTCTGGATTGCGCAGCTAAACTTGGGTAATTCGGTTTGGTTTGAGTTTGTGGGGTTTGTTGGAGCACCCCCTTCCAGGTTACATAGACTTTCAGTCAAGAGAAAATATTGTCTCTTTTTAACTTGCTTATTTCTCTTTACTAAAAAAGCCCTAAGTAGAAGCATCCTGTATGTTCTGCTCACTTCGAGCACGTCATAGATCATTTGCTTCCTGTAAATCATGCTGGATGAGATTAGCAACAGACCTCCTGAGCCCTCGAGGCTGAGCTCCCCAGTGAGTCATGCTGGCTTTTATTAAATATTTATTAAGTGAGTATTTGTACTGAGGAATACAAAGTCAAAAGCACCCACAGGTCTTCCAGAGCCCAAGCAGAAGAAATGGGCTCCATAGGAACTGAGTGCCTCTGCCTCGATCACCTCAGAGGGAGTCCTTTCTGTGTAGCAGCAGCCTTCCCCGAGCCCTGGTGGTGACCTCTTGTCAGCAACCTTGTGGGACTTGTCAGAGCAGTGTTCAGAGCCAGCTAGACAGACCAGCCAGTGAGGACCTTTCTCCTTCTCGATGGAGAGTCCTGGGCTGTGTTCACCCTGCTCTGGGCCTTCCTTTTTCTCTGACATCCCAAAGGCCGTGTTATGAGGTGGTGGTGCACGAATGTGTGAGGACACTTGCGTGTGGGAATGTCACTGAAGATGTTTGGTTACATTATTAGTGTGTGTAGACATGAGAGCACAACTTGTGGGAACAGGTACTCTTGCACCATCTGAGACTGACACCTACCAGCTGAGCTTCCTTGTGTTAACGGCTGCCCTTCCAGAGGCAGCATACTACCCAGAACCTATGCTGGACAGCTCAGAATTGCCTATGACTCCAGTTTAGGGGATCTGATGCCCTCTTCTGGCCTCTGACTGACTACCTGTACACATATAGCTTACACTCAAACACACACATGCATATTAATAAAGTCTCTTTTTTCCTTTTTAGGTGTGTGTGTGTGTGTGTGTGTGTGTGTGTGTGTGTGTGTGTGTGTGTGTGTGTGTGTGTGTGTATACCACATGCATGCAGTTACCACAGAAGCCAAAAGAGGGCTTTGGATTCCCAGGAACTAGAGTTGCAGATAGTTATGAACTTGCATACAGTGCTAGGAATTGAACCCCGGCCGAGGCCGTGGCAAGAGCAGCCACCTCCCAGCCTCAGTGTTCCTTTCCCTAACTGTGCCTTCGTTATACTTTGACTTTCTGCTGTTTTTCGCGTGTTTCCTGTGTTGCTCTTCCCTGCACCCTGAAAGAGAACTTACGAAATCGTGTAGTCATTTCAGACACATTACATGATTGCCAGTCAGTCTAGGGAACTGACGGATAAGTGGGGACCCTTTGCAGAAGTCTCTGGACTTCCTGTTTTGAAAACACATTCAGACTTGATCAACCAAAAGCCACAACAAATGTACTGATAGCTTCCTCCCAAGATATTGCACTTTGGGAGGAAGGTAATCATCTAACAATAAACTTCAGAATTCCCTCCCCCGCCAAATCTGCCAAGTTGTGAGCGACTGGAAGATAGATCTCAATCCTAGAGACGTGGTTATCTTGTGCATGGATGAGAACTCCTATACTCAGCAGATCTCTTGCGAGAAGGACCATCCGTTGGTCTAAATTCTGTTTATTTTTTGAGGTTCTGGGGGCTGAACCTCAGGCTTTGTACCTACTGGGCAAGTACTCTGTCACTGCGATCTGTCCCTGTCCCTAACTTCCCTGTTTTTTGTGAGATAGGCAACAATGTGTGATTCTCCAGCCTCAGCCTTTTGAGTAGCTAGGCTTAGATTAGATACCTAACCTCCTAAAAACCCAGTTCCTTTAGAAAAAGCACCTTAGGCTTCAACTGTGCTCCCAAACCTCTGGTGTGCATATATTTTAAAGTTCAATCTATTTTTAAAATAGAAGTGACTGTGCTCACTACTGTCTAGCTGGATACCTCTTACGTATATTCAACCTGGTTTTTTCCACGTTCCTCCTACACTGGGGGGGGGCTGCAAGTTAGGTATTATTTTATCTAGAACATTCCAAAAGTGGTCATACTACAGACATCATCATAGATATTCACAAGTGTGGGAAATAAAACAAGATACTCTGTGCCACATCCTGAGATCCAGGCTGCAGCCCTTGTTTGAAGGAACTGACTCAGCATCTGGGTTGACAGCAGTGGGAAGAACCAGCGTGGTGTTCGTCCTGGAGGTTGTCGTGACTGCTGACTGAGCCCTGCTGTCGGTAGTTCACTGCCGTTTACCCTCCAGAGTTCTCACTCCTCAGACCTCACCTAATGGTGGGGGATCAGAGAACCTGCTTTAAAGGTGGCTTCTAACTAAAGCAGAGTCGTAGACTCTCAGGCCTTTTAGGTGACTTGAGGTCAGATAGTAAGAGTGGTGGAGTGAGTTGGAATTGGGTCTGTGTTTGGAAGATGATAGCAGTCACAGGACATGGAGTTAACGTGTAAGAGAGGATTCTCAGGACTCTGTAAAGCAAGTTACTTAGTTACTTACCCCAAATCAGTTAAGCAGCCTAAGAAGTTACTGGATTATCAAAGAGGAATCATGGTGGCTGTTGTACTGCCTCTCAGGCCATTCCTTTTTCTTCCTGAGTAAAAGACCTGAGTGGAAAGGCATGTGTAGCATTGGCATTAAAGGTGGTTGGGGCTGGTATAACTCTGTGGTTGATTTTTTGCACAGGTCCCTGGGGTCAGTCCTCACCACCATACAAAGTAATTGGAACAAGATGTGTGCATGCCTGTTATAGTATAATAATAAAGCATTTGGAATGCGGAGGCAGGAAAATAAGAGTTCCAGGCCAGCCTGAGATATATAAAAAGACTGCCTCAAGAAAAGAAAATCTAACATGAATGTATCATTGGAAAAATAACATTCAGGCTAGACATTATTATTTGTTTATTTATTTTGCCCAAGCATCTGAACCCAAGATACTGTTACAGATGGTTAAGCCATCGTTGTATATTGTCAAGACTAGATGTGTGGCATTCTCCTAACTGTGTGTTTAAATAAGCCAGTATATCTTGACCTTGTGACACAGGTAAGAAAACTAGTATTCATTTAACCTAAAACAGACAAATATTCTTGTTCTTAAACTTCCAGACGGGGTGGGCAAAGCTTCTAGAAGACACCATGTGTGTCTCGTAGACAGAGGGGGAGTGGAGTTGCTGCTCTGTTGGCCGTTCACTCAACAGGCAGTGCTGAGGGGCGGCTTGTGACTGTTGTGTCTCCTCACCCTCAGTCCACCTGGAAGGCTGCTGTGGTGGAAGGATGTTTGATTGCAGAGATGTGGTGTTCGTTGTTGGTGAAGGAGAAGACCACGACATCCCCATTGGGATTGACAAGGCCCTGGAGAAAATGCAGAGGGAAGAGCAGTGTGTCTTGTATCTTGGACCACGGTAAGAAGCGCCCGTTTCCAGTGTAGCTATCAAACCTGCTCTCTCACTCCGTGTTTCTCACTGAGCCAGGTGACCGTCGGGAAGTTTGTGAGCGGTTAGCTCAGCTTAGGTGTGTTTAAGAGTAGGACTCCCGAGCCTGGTGTTTGATTTGTCCTGTGCCGTGGCGCCACGTCAGCAAAGACCGAGTTCAGCAGGGGGGTTGAGAGCTGGAGTGGGGCATGATTCATGCCACTTGAGCGCATGCCACATTCTTATATGGGGTCCCTGAAGGAAGAAACCCAGCTTGTTCTTCCTGGATCTAAAGACAGCAGAGATGACTCATTTTTGCCTAAATTTTTCCCGTCATAAGGATAGCCATTAGCACTTCCAAGCTTAGAACTATCCGGCACTGACAGTCTCTTGTGAAAACATGTTTTGTATTATTTTTGGTCTAAAATTATACCATAAATTCAAGTCTTCTATCTTGAGGAATGGACCCTGAAAGGATCCAGGGATGCCTCTATGCAAGAGCATCTCCTTGGCCAGAGTGGCCTCAGGGGCTCACCGATTGCCTCTGGCAGATCTGAGATCTGAGACTCTTCAGCCTGCCCTCACCCCTCAAGGGTCCAGTGACAAAGGGCCAATGCTTCTCTATGATCCTGTTTCTCAGTAGTCTTAGCTGTGCCGACACTTCCTTGAAAGTTCTCCCAGAATGCTCTCTTCCTGATTCTGAAGCTGTCGGGAGGCCCTTTTATCTGCTACCTTTCTCCCAGCCCTGCTTTTCCTCTGCTGTGGTCCTGCTTCAGGGTTTGAGTTTGCAGTGGACTGTAGTTCACTCTGCTGCTACTTTTTCCCCTTACAGAGCAGGTTCTTCATAGCCTACAGTCGCTAGTCTTTTGTTTTCTTTTTCTTTTCTTTCCTTCTTTCTTTTTTTGAGATATCTTCTCACTTAGTAACTCTGGTTGCCCCGAAACTCAACTGTGTAGACCAGGCTGGCTTCAAACTCTGCCTGCCTCTGGCTCCAAGTGCTGGGATTAAAGTTTGCTAATCACTTCTAATCTAACATTCCGAAATTACAGTAGCTCCACACTCGGGGGGGGGTCTGTGTCTCTGTAAAGTGTGAGCATTCAGGGACACATGACCCAGATCTGTAAGTCTTAACCCAGCTGGTCAGATAACAAAGCAAGTCAAATTGCTTTCTGTTCATTAGGTTTGAAGGGTTGGCCACCAGTCATTGGCGGTTGAGCCTTGTCCTCTGTAGCCTCAGTGGTGGCACCTGGGTAGGTCACCTGACTGCCCTGAGCCTTTCGAGACTGCAGAGACCTGAGTGGAGTAGTCAAGCAGCGCACTTGACAGACCCTACCCAGGAAAGCCCTCCCTCCCTAGCTCTTAACGCTTTTTGCAATGCCTTTCATTCATTTTACCCTTGGACCACAGACTTTTCAAATCTTTTCAGGCATAAGAACCATCAAGTTCTCGCAAGTTTTGGTGTATAAAGGTTTTTTTTTCCTGCTCCCCTGGGTATGTCCAGGGTATTTTGTTGGTATATTGAGTTCTTTGAAGTACATTCTGTACCATGCTGTCTACACTGTCTCCATGTGCGTGTGTGATAGTGTACATGTATGTAGAACATCCCTATGCACCAAGTATGATTGTATGCATGCAATGAAGTATCTTATCCTATTCAAAAGAAATACTGATCCAATTTGTACTCTTCTGTATTTCACCTTCCAACCCCCCCCCCACACACATACCCTTCTTCCCTGACATCTATAGACTCCTTGACAGGGTGTTCGCATAAGAAATCAACAAAGCGTCCAAAGTTTTCTCTCTCACTGGGACAGTGTCTTTTCTTTGCAGTGTTCTTTAAAACACTGTCCAGTGGTGGTCCTCTCTTGGAGGTCTTCCCACTCCAGGAAGTTTTTTTCTCACTTTTCTTAAATTTGTTTGCTCTGCTCAAATAAGTAATCAAATGTGACTGCTCTCTCTTTTGTTTTAGGTTAAGTATTGGTAAAGTTAACCTTTTTCTCTTTCCTTCTTTTTACTTTGCACCTGTTCTCTAACCACCCCAAACAAACCCAGGCTGGAGGAGTGCTCACTCTGATTATGAGCTAGTTGTGTGGTTCACAGCATTTGCGTCCTTAGGACAGTAAGGTCTGAATTTGGTCCTGGCTTCCCCTTGTCTCTGAGCTCTCAGGAAGCACGGTCTCCGCTGTCAGCTTCAGCTGGTGAGAGTCCATTCAGGTGCTGCTGTGCATTGCCAGGCCACCGCCCCCTGTGTGTCTGCCCTACAGGCAGCCGTTGCTCGGGGCACTGACTCTGGACCCCATTCTGTGTCTCTTCTTTCAGTCAGGTCCTACTTTGCCCAGTCTGAGCCAGTGTGAGTTGGGCATCGTCTGCTCAACAGTCAGGCTAGCTGTTTGTGGAGCGAATGGGTGTGTACCAGGGCTCCCAGGAACACGTGTCCACCGGGCTTACTGGTTTAACCAGGAGAGATGGTACAAGTAATCGTCTTCAATCTTCTCTGATCCCACTGGTAATAGCCTGGCTGCATCTCCTCCAAACCAGTCCCCGCATTCCTCATACCTCACCCCACCCCGCCCTTCCTGTCATGGAAGCTCCAGAGAGGGTCCCCTCTTAGGCAGGCCTCACCACTACTGATGTTTGGGACTAGGTAATTCTTGGTTGTGGCAGAGAGAGATTGTCCTGTGTCAGGAGGATGTACAGCAATATTCCTGGACTCTGCCAACCAATAGCAGCCCTACTCAGAAGATCTCTAGATATTGCTAAATGTCTCCTGAAGGGTTAAAACCAACCCAGTAAGCACCACTGTTCCAAGCTGAATGCAGTTCACCTGATGCATTTGTCCCTAGTTAGCAAAACTGCCAGTCATGATGCTCTCAGCGGCAGACGTAAGAAGCGCCCCCACCTGACACCTGCCGGCCTCCTTTGCAGCAGGTGAGGGACAGCTCTCACGTGCAGGAAAGCAGGCACCCTTTCCTAGAACTGGCCACTGGCAGTCGTACCCTTTCCTTTATTGCTTTGCTGAAGGTGCCCTTTGCCTGGTATTAGAGCAGCCGCGCCCAGGCCTTTGCAGGCATCTGTGCCAGCTGCTCATTTTCTTGTATAACAGTGGAGGTGAGGGAGTAAGCAGGCTTTCCTGGAAAACGCAAACAAGGAATAGAAGCAGCACATGCAGTGTGGTGTGTGCTCTCCCCCAGCTCCTTGGCCCCCAAGAAGACCCAAGTGGAAGATTCCTAGCCTTAACCCAGTCTTGACTTCTTTCAAACCATGGCCTGCAAGTTTGAGCTGACATAACTTTTTATGTCATTTCATATTTCAAGAATACTTTGGCTCATGGCAGATAAAAAATGGTGTTCTGGTGAACCTCTTGCTATTAGGCTGAGCATTGTTCTAATTTTTCTTTTTGGTTTTTTCAAGATCGTCTGTTTGTAGCCTTGGCTGTCCTGAAATTCGCAGAGATCTGCCTGCCCCTGCCTCCCAAGTGCTGAGATTATAGTTGTGCGCCACCACACCTAGTTTAGGACAGTGTTCTGGGCGCTGGGAAACCCTAAAGCAGACAGGCAGAGCTCCGTGGTGTGCAGGCTTCCCATATAAGATCTGAAGTAGTTCCCTAGAGTCGTTTATAAACATTCAGTGTGATGGCATGCCTCTGCAAACCATGCCCCTGCAAACCAGCACCCTACATAGCCAGACCCTGTCCCTCAAAGTGAAATTTTCATCCCTTTAGGTTTTATTTTGTCCGTTTGTTTATTTGTATTTTGAGACAGGGTTTCTCTGGGTAGCTTTGTAGACCAGGTTAGCCTCAAACTCAGAGATCTGCCTATCTCTGCCTCCTGAGTGCTAGGATTAAAGGCGTGTGCCACCACTGCCCAGCTTAGTTTGTCTTTTTTTTAACTTAGTAAGTTTAGGCTAAAGGGAGTTTACTGCGTTTTAGACAGGTATAAAAATTTGCATACCTCTCAGTGGACTGCTGGACTACTGGCTGTGGTGTACCTTTTAACTCTTTAGGAGCTGTTTTCTTTGCTGATGTGCCATCCCTCTGGTTTATCTGATTGGAGGCAGTGCTGTCGGAAGGCGGCAGTGCTTAGAGTGAGAAGCTCATTCTAAAACAGAGTCCTTAGGAAACTCAGATAGGAAAGAACATGGTGGGGAAAAGGTTCCAGTGGGAGAGGAGGGAGCTGGGGTAAAATGACAAATCCCTTATATACAGGTATGAAGCTGCTGAAGGTCAACAAAAGGCAGTAATAATAGATGACAAAAATGCTAAAAGTGATTAAAATAGAACTGTTGATTTTACTAATGGTTGTAGTAGTGTCCTTTCTGCCCATAAAGCTTGAAGGGAGAAATTCCTTGTAGCAAAAAAGGAAAGAATTAAGTCTAAAATCAAGCAGAGAAAAAGACATCAATGTTGAAAAGTATATCATGTAGGCTGTCCCAGATAGGTAGTACAGGAAGTGTGTGTGTGCGTGTGTGTCTGAGTGTGCGTGTGAGTGTGTGTATGATCTAACAGAGCACAGCACTGAAGCGTGGGTGTTTCTCCTTCAGCCTCTGCTGTTTCTCTGGTCTCTGATACACAGCAGGCTGATCCTGCGCCTCAGAGCACCAAAGAACTGCCTGAGATACTCCAGTTCTTTTAAAGTCTTGTCTCTTTACTCTCCATTTCAGATACGGTTTTGGAGAGTCAGGGAAGCCTAAATTTGGCATTGAACCCAATGCTGAGCTTATATATGAAGTCACACTTAAGAGCTTCGAAAAGGTGAGAAAGTCCAACTTCTCTAAAACTGTGGTGGATTTCTTCTCGTGCCCTTCCTGTAGCTGTGTGCTAGGGGGTTTGACTAAGTGCTGTTTTTTTTCTGTGATTGCTTCTCTTTACCGCGATTCCTTCGAACCCCACACAACACACACACATACACACAACACACACACACTTCTGCTTAGAGCATGGGAAACCTAACATAACACAGTGGATATATAAGGGGAGCTGGTGCTATTTTGTTCCTGTGTGTCTGCCTTGTTTTTTTTTTAACTTTTGGGTAGAATCCAAGACTTGTTCCCTTATTTGTTCCTAGGCTTGTTCTTTTTGTACTTTTTTTCCTGGGTTGAGGACAAAAAAGTTCACTTACTGCCAAGCCGCTCCTTGGGGGAGTTGGGGTGCAGCTTTCCAGTGCTGAACGGACTGTACACTTCACAGGAGTCACGCAGAGGCCCCTGCTGAGGCTCCAGGTTGCGATCCCAAGGTCTCAGCCTTGGGATCGCAGGCAGCAACCATCGACAGGAAAGAAACCTGCTACCCAGCTGTTTACGCACTTGTCCAAGAACAGGAGAGAGGGAATCTGCCATGACCTCCTTGGACTGACTGCCAACCCATGGCTACCTCTGTAGGTCCCAGCTGCTCTACCAGGCAGCCACGCCGCATCCGCATAAGTGAAGCCGGCTGTCACCCTCGGCTGGTCTCCAAGTGACCAGCTTCCCGCCCTTCTTTGAGCTCCTCAGGGACTGCCCTTCTCATTAACCTTTTATTCCCGTGCTGCCACAACCATTTCTATACACCGAGTTTTCACTAGAAATGCGACCTCCCTTAATTGTTACCTTGTCAGCCTGTACGCTTGGGAGAAGAAAGTAGGATTCTCCCACACCAGCATCGTGTCCCTCAACACACATGCTCTTGTCAGGCCGTTGCGTTTTGGGGGGGGTAACCTCTTTTGAAGGCCTCGTCATGGGCTTTTGTTACTAAGAGGGAGAAAAACTCCTTTAGCCATGATTATCAAGGCCTTTAGCTTTCCTGTTCCTTTTTATAGAGACCCCACTGCCCTCCCTCCCTGCCTTCTGAAGAACATTCTCTCTGTCACACTACACCAAGCTCATACTGTGCCACTCCGTGAGTGTGTCTGCGTGTCACTGTGTGGACCCACACGGGAAGCCTGTGATGTTTTGGAACCACGTCAGAAGCCAGACATGGTGGTGCACACTTACAATCCCATTGCTCTAAAGTCTAAAGCAGAAGGATCGCCTGTCTCAGGCCAGCCTGTGCTACATAGCATGACCCTGTCACCACTGCCCCCCCCAGTCCCCCACCCCCGTGCAACCATGCAGACATGTGTTCAGATCTCCAGCACCCTTGTGAGAAGCTGGACGTGGAGGCATGTGCCAGTGCCCCCAAGGCTGCAGCAGGCAGGAGGATCCCTGGGACTTGCTAGCAGCCAGCCTAGCCAGTCAGTGTTCTCCAAGTTTAGTGAGAGACAGCTGTCCCAAAAAGCTAAGTGAAGATCTGACAAGATGGCTGCATGGGGAAAAGGCACAAACCCAACAGCCTGAGTTTGTCTCTGGAGCCCACAGAGGAGAGAGCTGACTCTGCAGAGTTCTTCTCTGACCCCCCCCCACACACACAATAAATAAAACCAATGAAGTTTTGAAAAGAGACAAGGGGGGCTGGAGAGATGGCTCCGAGGTTGAGAGCTTTGGCTGCTCTGTAATGAGATCTGATGCTCTCTTCTGGCCTGCCTGGATACGTGCAGACAGAACACTGTATTCTTAATAAATAAATCTAGGAAGGACGCAGGGAGGGAAGGAGGGAGACAATGGAAATATATGTTGAAAAAAATAAGTAAAAGTAGTTTTATTTTTTTAAGTAGGTGGGGAGTGATAGAGAAAGACACCTAAACTGACCTGTGGTCTTTACACAGGTTCACATACACTAGCAATATTTGTTGTTCACATGGGTACACATGTGAGATACACATACAATATTTGTTGTTCACATGGGTACACATATGAGATACACATACAATATTTGTTGTTCACATAGGTATACATGTGAGATACACATACAATATTTGTTGTTTTGTTTTTCAAGATAGGGTTTCTCTGTGTAACAGCGCTGGCTGTCCTGGAACTCACTCTGTAGATCAGGCTGGCCTCAAACTCACAGAGATTCTTCTACGTCTGCCTCCCAAGTGCTGGGATTAAAGGCGTGGGCCACCAATGCTTACCTGAGTCCACTTGAATTAACTTCCTTCCTTCCTAAGATTTATTTTTATTTTATATGCATTAGTGTCTCTTCTGCCTGTGTGTCTGTGAGAGAGGGTTAACTCTCTTGGAGCTGGAGTTACAGACAGTTGTGAGCTGCCATGTAGGTGCTGGGAACTGAACACGGGTCCTCTGGAAGAGCAGCCATGCTCTTAGCTGCTGAGCCGTCTCTCCAGCCCCCCACTTGAACTTTCTAATCCATATGTACTAAATAGAGCCAACCACTCCTATTGCATTTCCTAAAAGACCTTGGGTATCCTACTGGGTTCTGTGATCTTAAATCCAGCAGTTATATGGATTTTTTTTTAAAACCCATGTCAAGTATGCAGGACAAGCACTGTCTCACTGAATGACAGCCCCAGAGCTGTTGTTTCTAGACCTGCGTGTACTGTTGTAGAGAGTAGGGCACACATAATACATAACGCTGCCCCTGGTGACGGTGAGGTCACTTATGCAGAGCTCTGCAGTGATGTTTTCGCATGAGCTCCCATCTTCCCAGTCCTATTTTGCTGAAGATCCCTGAAGGAAAGGCAGGCATCGAGATGTACACCAGTAATCCCAGCGCTTGAGAGGTGCCAACAGGAGGGTCACGAGTTCAAGGTCATCCTTGTCTACATGGTAAGCTGGAGGCCAGCCTGAGATACATTGCTGCCTGGAAAATAAGAAAAGAAATTCCCCACGCGCACACCTGCAAGCTGATACTGGTAGAGGCCATAAGACAATGCCTGGCCTGGAATTTAAGAAATTCTCTATGCATGCACAGCTTGGCCTGGACCATAAGTAATGATCCCACTTGAGAGTTGGAAAACAAACTTGGCAGAAACAGAAGTGGCGGTGGTGGCAGCAGCGTAGTGAGGCATTCCTCGGGAGGCTGGCCTGTCATTCTAAAGCACAGTCCTTCAGAGTGATCAGCACTGATGTTCCTGCTGTGCTTTGCCCGTTCCCTTGGACAGCCTGCATCAGACCGCAGCGTGGGAACCACGGCTCATGCTCTTAGAGTGGCACTGAGAGCACTGGCCTGGCAGCGGCTCGGCAGCGGCACACAGTTCTGCCTGCTAGTGTCTTTTTGTTTTCCAGACAGGGTTTCTCTGTATTGTTTTGGAAGCTGTCCTGGAACTCACTCTGTAGACCAGGCTGGTCTTGAACTCACTGAGATCCGCCTGCCTCTGCCTCCCGAGTGCTGGGATTAAAGGCGTGCGCCACCACTGCCTGGCTGCCTGCCACTGTTTTGAGTTTGGGTATTTTGTAGAAGTAGCTGCTGTTTGTTCTCTAAATGTCAACTGGTATGTGTCCTTGTGCTCATCTAACTGATACCACAAATCTATACACAGGCCAAAGAATCCTGGGAGATGGACACCAAAGAAAAACTGGAGCAGGCTGCCATTGTCAAAGAGAAGGGAACTGTGTACTTCAAGGTGTGTAAGCCCCTGTAACCCTTCCCTGCTACGCTGTTACTCAAGTGTCCGCGTGCCGTGCTGGTGTCCCCCTTCACATGCTGTCAGCCCCTTTTGAGTGAGAGTAGTCCTCACTTCCACAGTGTCCTGCTGGTCCAGGGTAAGGGTGGGTGAGAGTGCGTCACTGTAAGGCGATAAGGCGGCTCCTCTTCTGTATGTGGTGAGCACATGGTAACCTCCCCTCAGAGCAGACCTCGCCTGGCCTGCTCATCTGCATCCGTACCACTCAAGGCCTGATGCGTCTTGGTTGGTCCGTGTCAGCGTGGAGGTGTGGAGGGAAAGGATGGAGAGAGGGTGTGACAGTCAGAGTTCACAGGAATGGCCCCACACTTCCTCCACTCCCGACAGGTCACTAGCACCTACCTGTGACGGGAAAGAACATGCAGTCTTCAGACCACTGAGTGATTCCCCACATTGCTGGGCTGCACTTGTTCTCATGCAAGCACAGCCCAAGAAGGTCTGGTTGTTCTCATTGCAGTTGCCACTTGAAAGAGGGATTACTGGTGCTGGAGCGATGGCTCGGGGGTTAAGAGGTCCTGAGTTCAATTCCCAGCAACCACATGGTGACTCCCAACCATCTATAATGGGATCTGGTGCCCTCTTCTGGCCTGCAGGCATACATGCAAGCAGAATGTTGTATATGTAATAAATCTTTAATAAAAAATAAGAAAGAAATATAGATTACCTTTGCATTCTAAATTGGAACAGCAGTTTTCACAGCCAGTATCCTCAAAATAAATCTTCAATATTTTATAAGTTTTGGGGAGTTTGTTGTTGTCATTTAAGATAGGGTCTCTCTGTGTAGCCCTGGCTGTCCTGGAACTCACTCTGTAGACCAGGCTGGCCTCGAACTCACAGAGATCTACCTGCCTCTGCCTCCCGAGTGCTGGGATTCAAGGCGTGTGCCACCAGTGCCCACCTTGTTTGATAAGCTTTAACTAGAACCACATCACTGCTGCTGTAACTGAACAACAAAATAAAGATGCCACTAATGGTGCTGGCTGGGTACCAAGAGAGCTCTGGAGACTGGCATGGATGACTCAGCATCCAGGGGTGTTCAGCACAGCCCATCCAAGAACCTGGTGGGGAGAGCGCACTGAACCTTGCACTGACCACGGTGATGTTACTTACAGCTGCCTACGTAACAGCTGCTTCCCCAGAGCCCTCTCCATGGGACCTAGGAGCCAGTGCTTTATCCCATAGGTCCTAATCCCAGGTGCAAGAAAGGAAATTTCAGAGTGCCATGCAGATTGTTGTCAGCCTGCTCCCAAATGTGTGTCTCTGCACATCAAGTGAAGACTTAGTGTTGAGAACGCAAAAATAGACATGTTCTCTTGAGTTAGGTGATGCTGTTGGAAGCAGCTGATTCAGTTCCCTGCCTTGTAGTAAGGAGGTTGAAGCCAGAAGCCTGCTGTGGTGTTACACACCTTTAATCACAGTGCTCTTGAAGCAGAGGCAAGTGGACTCTCTCTCTCTCTCTCTCTCTCTCTCTCTCTCTCACTCTCACGCACACACACACATACATACGTGTTCTTGGATTTTCTTTCTTGTAACTGCAGTCTTGAGAGAGAATTCATTGGTTTACCCCTTGTGGTTTGTTCTCATAACTCAGTAAAGCTCAGCCTGAGTCGAGTCTTCACAGCTTCTTTCTGACGTTTGCCGCCGCTGCTGCCTCTGCAACCTTATCTGAAGGTGGAGACCAAGTGGGAGAGCTGTGAGGCCATAGTCACCCCAAAACAACCTGGCAGAGACAGTAAAGACCACTGTTTGTTGAGGGGCAGTTCATCTGTTCTTCATTTGACCGTCTCAGTGACTGTCCTGCGTAGGGTGGGATGAGTCTTGTTCATTTAGGTGACACTGCATCTTCATTTTAAAGCACTTTGCACTGTGGGTGAAATCCAGAGGTTTTAGTAATATACCTGCATTTGTTTATTCTAACAGTTGCTAAAATACTGCGTGAATCAGAGCACATACAGATAATGAGCTCTGAGTTGGGGATCTGGAAAATTCAGCCTTTGGTTTTCATGTGATTCAGATCTCTTAGCTGTGTTGCTTGGGAGCATTACAGTGATGATACGTATATTTCAACATGTTTTGAATCTTCCTAAAATTACCAATCTGGATAAAATCTGGATCATCAGTCATACATATGGAACATATTATTTTTAACATGTAATTTGATAGACAAGATCTTTGAAAACATTAGTCTGTTAGGGGAAAATTAATGAAAGGTTCAAAACCACTGACCTAAGACTGCCCCCAGAATGTCTCTGAACATTTTGTACCACTGACGTCCTACAGGCACCTTCCTAATTATAGGTGAAGATCACAGTGGTGACGCTAGCTGGGGCTGTGGGTTTTAGAAGTGTTGGTGGGCTGTCTCCTGTACGCGTTCCCTTGTCAGCGTTCTGCGGTGCGGCTCTCTCCGTCCGTTTCCCAGGGTGTTTTGACGTGTGCCACACACAGCATGCAGATGTGTGTGTGACTGCAGAGATGGGCTGCACGTTTTTATTGACCTGCAAGTTTGGCTTACAGCGTGGGCAAAGTAGGACTGAGTTGTGCTATTTAGGCTGGTGTTGAAACTTCCTTTCAGCCTCCGAACACTCATGAGAGGAGAAGCAGGAAATGACTAACCTCACCTAGTTCTGAAAGTCATTGTGAAGACAGGTGGCCTGTGAAAGCGGGGGACTCCCTGCGGTGTGCAGGCGTCTTGCGCCCCCTAGTGCCCCATAAGACAGACGTGTGTCTGAGGCTGGCTGGTTGTGCCTGGGGGCCAGGGTACTGTGTGGTGCCCTCACGGCCTGGAGTGCAGGGAGGTCAGTGCTGGTCTCAGCAGTGGTCGGCGGGTAAACACCGGGTCTCTGCCGTCTGACGGGAGGGGTCCCCTGTGCCCGGGCTTGTGCTTCCTGCTGCAGGGAAGAGCCCTCGCCTGTATCCGGTTCATTTGATTCCCAGCTGCCACTCCACCCGATCAGTGCGTTGTTACAGCAGTGAGCACGTGGTCTCCACCGCAGTTTCTTATTCAGAGCCCACGCCTTACACATCGTTCAGTAGCTTACAGCTGTCAGGACACATTAGTCAGCAGGGCCGGGGGCGTCCTGGCCCAGCTCTGTGATTCCGCTTACTCTGGAACAATGGGTGTCACCCTGTTGGTTGACCCCTAGCGGGTGACAGCATTAGCAAGATTGAGAACCACCGCTCTGGACCTGAGGCAGGAGGACCAAAAGTTTTAGGCTGGCCTTGACAACTTAGCGAGGTCCTATCTGTCTGAAATAAAAATGAGGACCTGGAGATATGATAGGTACGTGTTTACTTAGTGTGCACGAGGCCCTGGGTTCAGTTCTTAGTACTGCGCAGGAGGGTGGGTGGGACAGATAAGAGTAGACCAGTTTTCTCACACATCGATTTTGCTGTTCAAGCTCGCTTATACTGTGCGCCCACCGATCAGCACGCTGTTCTCTGGCCCACTGCCTACTCTTAGAAGTACAATGATGCCAGGACACAGCCACACTGGTGCACAGCCACCAGGACACAGCCACGCTGGTGCAGTTTTGCCTGTGTTAGCTGGTGCTGCTCTCACACTGCTCGTGAGAGCCGAAGTCTTGCAGTCTGCTTCAGAGAGCCCAGGCTTGCTGTGTAGGGACTACATTGCCATATTGCAGTATTTACTATACAATGCTGAATGCCAGGAGAAGAGAGAAAATTCACCCCCACTCCCTCCATAAGCCATACGGCTTGCCATCCTTTTGAAAGACTGTTGAATGTTGCCTTCAAATGGTGTAGCCGCCTGCTGCCAGGCTGGAAGAATGCCAAGAAACAACACGCTGTAGTGTCAGCCTGCCACACACAGGCTACCTCACAAGAGAGCTGAGGCCGGAAAATTCAAGGACACAGAGCTGGTTGTCACACAGGCCTGTTCCATGTGAGGACGCAGCCGAGGCAGGCAGGCCATGCTCGCCCTTCGTTACATCTTTTCCAGAGCACGATACGAGTCATCTCTGGCCTTTTTCTCCTAGGGAGGCAAGTACATGCAGGCTGTGATTCAGTACGGGAAGATCGTGTCCTGGCTGGAGATGGAGTACGGCCTGTCGGAGAAGGAGTCAAAAGCCTCTGAATCGTTCCTGCTTGCAGCCTTCCTAAACCTGGCCATGTGCTACCTGAAGCTCAGAGAGTACACCAAAGCCGTGGAGTGCTGTGACAAGGTGGGTGGCTCTGCGGCGTGCACTCCACCCTCTGTCCCTGTGGAGCTCCGGGGACACTATGTCTATCAGACACTTTACATACAGTTTCTCGTAGAATCGATGACAGTCTTCATCTGTGGTCTTACACTGGTCTTGAGTGTCATAGTAGAGAAAGAACTCTGTGAGTTCCACTTTTCGTTTTCTTTGCCCTGCTGGGGATTGTGCCTTGGGTTCCCGTTTGATAGAGCAGATTTGGTTTGAGATTCTTAGGACTTCAGCCACTGAGAACACAGTTTAACGGAAGGGGCGGTAGAGCGTCCCAGCAGCCCTGTTTTGCATTTGTGCTCTGACCATTACTACAGCTGTTTGCTGTAAGTGCCTTCTTGACAATTCTCTATTCTAGTTAATGTGGGCTCTTGTCATGGATGCCTAGCTTTAGAAGGTACAGTATATGTTACAGTATAAGTAAAAAACGACCATTGAGTGTTTCTCACAGGGGGGCCTGAAGCCAATCATGAGTGTCTTAGTCACCGTCCTGTTGCTATGAAGAGACACCGTGACCAAGACAACTCTTAGGAAAGAAAGGGCTTTTGTTTACTTGGTTTTCCAGACAGGGTTTCTCTCGTGTCCCATTCTGGCGTCAAACTTGCAGTGTAGCACAAATAATCTTGAGCTTCTGACCTCCTGAGTGTTGAGATTACAAGCATAGGCCACACCACCAGTTTTTAGACTTTGTAGTTGTTTTTGTTTTGGGGTTTGGCTTTTTTGTTTTGTTTTGTTTTAAGCTAAGGATAAAATTCAGGATTTTGTACATACTGGGCAAGCTGAGCTACAGCCCCAGCCTATGCCTATATATTTAAATTAAATTACATAGTTTTAGGCCTGGAAAGATGGCTCAGTGTTTTTAAGAGTACTTCCTGTGCAAGCATGGGGGACCAGAGTTTGAATCTCTGCACCCACATAGTAAGCCTGGCCTAACCCACACAGGAAGGGAACACTGAGTAGATGGGAAATAGGAAGATCACGAAGGTGTGTTGGCTGCCAGCCTCCCTGAAAGTTGTGACCCTGCCTCAAAGGAGTAAGGCAGAGAGTAATTGAGGAAGATACTTGTCCTCTGGCCTCTGTGTGTGTGTGTGTGTGTGTGTGTGTGTGTGTGTGTGTGTGTGTGTGTGTACAGATAATGCACACCCATATGCTTAGCATAATACATACAAAAAAATGAACTTAAAGCTGACTAGAAAAAGATCTGGACATAGTTCTGAAACCACGACTTCCTTCCCCATCTGATGAGTGCACTCACAGCTCTCCCTCATCAGGTTTAGGGTTAAAAGACTCGGCATTCTAAAATCCCATATGTGAATCTGTCACGGTTTACTTCAACTGGTGCTCACTGCAAGATCTTCAGGGTTTGCTTTTATTATTAGAACGTTCATGATAATTTTAAAAGTTAGGAGAGAGGGGTGTTGGTGGCACACGCCTTTAATCCCAGCACTCGGGAGGCAGAGGCAGATGGATCTCTGAGTTTGAGACCAGCCTGGTCTACAGAGCGAGTTCCAGGACAGCCTCCAAAGCCACAGAGAAACCCTGTCTGGAAAAAGCAAGCACAGAAAACTCAGGAAAGACTGCTCTGCACTTGGTGTCTCTCCTCACAGAAAAGTCAGGAAAGACTGCTCTGCACTTGGTGTCTCTCCTCACCTGTGCTTGGTGTGAATCCCTAGAAGTGCTAGAGACAGGGACACTTAACGTTGTAGGTGGGGAGGAAGTCGCTTAGTGGGTGAAGTGCCTGTCACACAAGCGAGAGGACCTGAGTTTGATCCTTGGTACCCACATAAAAGCTGTGCGTCAGGAGCCAGAGAGAGGCTCAGTGGCTGAGGCCCCTGCTACCCGTCCAGAGGACCCAGGCCCGATTGCCAGCAGTCACATGGTAGCTCACAGCCTTCGGTAACTCCAGTCCCAGGGGATCCTAATACCTGTTCTGCCTGCCACAGGTGTAGAGGCAGTGCTCAGACATACATGCAGGCAAAATACCCATACACACACAAAAAAATAATAATGACTCCAGGCCGCCCATGATGCTTGTTATCTCAGTGTTGGTGGAGCAGATCTCCAGGGCTCTCTGGCCAGCCAGCCTAGCCTATTCCGCAAACCCCCAGTCCTGAAGGCTGACATCTGGCCTACATACACATGAATACACCCATATAAATCAGGGGTGGGGCTCTTTGTCTTACACTTAGTTCAAAGGTCACGATCCATGTGTGGCTGGCACTATTGCCGTGGGCAGAGAACAGTCACTTGCTTTTATAGACACCAGGACACAAAGACCCAGAGACAAGGCATACCTTTCAAAAGCACACCTCTAGGGCTTGGTGTGGTGGCGCACACCTTTAATCCCAGCACTCAGGAGGCAGGAACGGGTGGAGCTCCATGAATTTAGGCCAGCCTGGTCTACATAGCAAGTTCCAGGACAGCCAGAGCTACATGGTGAGACCCTGTCTCAAAAAAAAGTCTCACACCCCTTTGACCTTCCTCTAGTCAGTCCAGTGGTTGTCAACCTTCCTAACACCATAACCCTTTAATACAGTTCCTCATGTTGTAGTGACCCCCCGCCATAAAATTATTTCACAGCCATACAGTTATGAATTGTAAATATCTGGTCCCCGATACGTGACCCCTGTGGGGGTTGTGGCCTACAGGTTGAGAACCTCTGCTCTAACCCCTTACAGCCCTGTTCAGTACTGACTCATTGATAGAGCGTCCTTGGGTCCAGTCAGATCTCCCAACACCATCTAGGGATCCAGGCTTCAGTGAGCTTTGGGGGAAGCATTTTATATTAAAACACCTGATTACCACGTCACCCCGTACATACCTCTGCTTATCTTGGGGTGTGATTGCACCTCTTGCCTGTCGCCCTTGAACTGCACGCTATTTCCTAAAGATCTTCATTGCCCTCAAGTGACGAGACTCACAGCCGTCCCTCCTAAACTGTGGCCGTCTCTCTATTCCAGGCGCTTGGACTGGACAGCGCCAACGAGAAAGGCTTGTACAGAAGGGGTGAAGCCCAGCTGCTCATGAACGAGTTTGAGTCAGCCAAAGGCGACTTTGAGAAGGTGCTGGAGGTAAACCCTCAGAACAAGGCCGCAAGGCTGCAGATCTCCAGGTGCCAGAAGAAGGCCAAGGAGCACAACGATCGAGACCGCAGGGTGTACGCCAACATGTTCGCCAAGTTTGCGGAGCAGGACGCAAAGGTGCGTGGCGGACCCGGCCTGAGGCAGATGAGGAGCTGAGCTTGTCCAGTGGGGAGGACAAGGCCGGGTTGTCAACCTCAGAGAAACAAGGCTAAGGAAGAGACTTGGGTGTGGCCAGGGGCTGCTGAGGGTGCACAGGTTGGGTCGCACTCCAACACTGTCCAGAGACATGGGTGCTGAGGCCTTGCATGTCCATGGGAGAGTGGGGAGGCTAACTCCTTGAGATGTAGAAGCCTGTAGCCCAGGCTAGCTTCATATCAGAGATCCTCTTGCCTCTGCTCCATGAGTTCTGGGATTTCAGGCATCTGTCACCAAACCAAGTTAGCTTGTTATTTAAAATATTAATAAATTCAGCACACCTTTAACCCCAGCACTTGGGAGGCTGAGGCAAATGGATCTCTTTGAGTTCCAGGCCAGCCTGGTCTATAGCGTGAGTTCCTGGACAGTCAGGGCTGTTACACAGAGAAACCATATCTTGAAAAAAAACAAAACAAAAAACTTGTAAGCCCATCAGTATTTTTTCCAGGTAACACTTCCTGGCTACGATGTCCAGGAGACAGGTGTGTCACTGTGTGAGTGCCAGCTGGCAGCAGGTCTGTCCCTGAGCTCCAGCTTCCACCCCACTTACCAACTGTGCGCCCCAAATACACATAGACACGCTTGTTGTAGGCTTGATAAAACCATCTCGGGAAGGCAGAGGCTAATTTCCCCTCCTCCTTTAACCCCCAGGAAGCGGCCAACAAAGCAACGAGCAAGAAGACTGTAGAAGCAGAGGCCGGTGCAGCATGCGAGAGGCAGGCCATGGAGGAGGGAAAGGCTGAAGGCCATGTATGACGCCACGCCAAGGAGGGAAGAGAGTCCTAATGAACTCGGCCCTCCTTGCTGGGCTCACACCCCACTCAGGACTGAACAGTGTTTAGTGTAAGGTTTGTTACAGTCTCTGGGATTCTGGAAGCAAATGGCAAAACCAGTAGCTTCCCAAAATAACCACCCTGCTGCTGCCCGGGGTGGGGGTGGGTGGGGGACACGCCAGGGGAACAGGACAGGAAAGTCCGTTGGTGTGCAGAGACCAAGCCAGCAGCTCAAGTCCAGCTCATTTCAGTGTCCTACACAGCACCCTCAGTGACCCCACGGCCCTGGCTGCCGTGGGGCTCTCCGTCTGCGCTTCGGGAGCACGGCAGGAACCAGCTCTGCTTTCCTGTTGGGAGGGGGCGCGGGTGGAGGATGAGGTTTTGTTTGGAACTGACTCCAGTGCTGAGAACACAAGCCCAAAATGAGGGGATACCCAGGTCCACGGCAGAGTCTCAGAGGCCACTGCCTGCCTGTCCAGTGGCTCCCCAGGTTCCCTTCTCAGACTCTTGTGGGTGTGACTTTGCGTCATACCCAGACTGTCCCAGGGAGTCTGTCAGTACTCCAACACCCTCTTCGGGGGTGATAGGTGGGAGTTTCCGGGTTAGTTTTCCCTAATTAGAGTGAATGCGTGAGGAGTAGGGAGCTGTTGACGGCTTGTTTCCTGCTGTGCCTCCCTTTGAAGAAGGTTAGCTCTCGATTCCCGGCCTCTCTGTGAAGAACCTGAGGCCTGCTCTTGTCCTAGACCTGGCGTGGACTGATGTCCACTCCAACTAAGACTGATGCAGTTACTCTTTTTTTTTTTTTTTGTATTGCTTATAAGCATATATACCGCTTTATGGAAGAAACTTCACACTCCTCTCTCGAGCAAAAACATTTTTTCACTTTTTACTTTTTAGCTTTGCATCTGTGAGGTTTCAAGCAGGCATTTCCTCTTAGAGTGAGGGTACCTGGAGGTTTGGCGGGCAGATGCTGTCCCCTGTACCTCAGCCTCTTCGTTCTGGTGTGGTCTGTAAAGGTTGCTGGCTTCCCATGCAGGTACTCAAGCCAAAGTCTCCAGTACTGGGCACGGGATCGGGGCAAGTCTTAAGTAGCCGTGTAGTTGGATTTTAGTCCTACGGGTAATGGATAGGAATGAGCACTGCTTGCTTCTCAACAGCCTACGAACCCCCAGGGGACACACCCAGCAGCCCAGGGAGCCCGGTACCTAACCCTGGAAACCTCACTCTCCTAGCCCTAGGAACACTGGCGGTTGCATTTAGATGAGTTTTTATTTTTATGGTTGTTTTTAATAAAACAGTCTCATGCTAAGTTAGGACTTTAAAGCCTACAAATGGAGTTGTTTTGTGGCTGTTCCAGTTTTAGTCTACATGCAATGGATGGAGCTAAGCTTTGAGGACTTTCTTTTCCTGGTGACTAAAACCTCTCGGATTTCACATCTTACGCTTCTGCCTCTTTCCATGAATGTTTTAAGCCCTGGTCTCACCCAGGAAGCACAAAGCAGGGGCTGACTGTTCTCATCTAACTCTCTGGTGTCTGCAGCTCTGCTGACTGCAGCGTGGAAACAGTGAGGACACAGCTGGGACCTGAGCCTAGCAAGTTAACCCACTGGCTTCTTACAGGAGGCGTCTTTCAGAAAATGGTGACCCTCACCAGCTGTTTCCCGGGGCACACCATGGGACTGGTAACCCTCACCAGCTGTCTCCCAGGGGCACACCATGGGCCAAGGAGACTGTGCTGGTGCTGGAGGAGAGGGTGTGCTAGGCTCCTAGACAGAAATGGACTTCACGTGTTACTGTAGTCAGTAACTTCAGATAATTCATATGGAAATCAGAAGATGTCTTCAGAGCACCTTTAGACTGGGTATAATGATGGGTGACCAGATGATAAACTTAAATTTTGGTTTTTAAAAAATCATTTAGAAGCTGGGAGTAGAGGTGTATTCCTTTAATCCCAGCATTCAGGAGGCAAAGGCAGGTGGATCTCTGTGAGTTCCAAGCCAGCCTGGTCTACACAGTGAGTTCCACAACAGCCAGGCCTATATAGTGAGACCCTGTCTCAAAACAATACAAAAAAAAAATCATTTAGATGCATTTTGTGTTCCTTAAATAAATTTTTTAAAAAGTGACTTCATTGTTCTTACATTGTTTTGTGGGTTTTATATTTATATTTACTTACTTTATCTCTGTGTGCTTGAGTGTATGTGTAACTAGCTGCCCTTGGAGACCAGAAGACGACTTTGGGTCCCCTAGAAGTGGAATTACAGGGAGTTGTGAGTTACACGTGGGTCCTGGGACTTGAACCTGAGTCCTCTGCATATCAGTAAATGCTCTTGATCTGCCAGACCTCTGTGCGTACTCGTACGCGCGTGTGTATCTCTGTGTGTGTGTGGTGTGTGCGTGCTTGCATCTGTGTGTATGCATATACACACACCACACATGCACTGTGTGCAAGTAGTGACCAAGGAAGATAGAAGGGGGCATCAGATCCCCTGGAACCACAGTTACAGATGGCTGTGAGCCACCATGTGGGTGCTGGGAACTGAGCCCAAGACCTCTGCAAGAGCTGCCAGTGCTCTTAACTTCTCGACTATCTCTCCAGCCCCTGATAAACAGCCTGAAAAGGAAAGTGTTTTGGTCTACAGCCATCATGCTGTAGACAAGGGATCTCCTGTGATCTCAGAAGCTCAACAGTTAGTCACTGTTCTATTGCTGTGACAAGATACCATGACCAAGGCAACTATGTAAGGAAGGGATTATTTGGGAGTTGCAGTTTCAGAGACTCAACCGCTCTGCAACTCCAGAGAACCTAGGTAGCAAAGAGGACTCTAAGAGAGACACATGGATCTGCCTAGGAAGGGGAAAAGGACGAGATCTCCTGAGTAAATTGGGAGTGTGGGGGACAAGGGGAGTGGGGGGAAAAATGTATAGCTCAGTTTTTTAAAATGGCAAAAATAAGCCGGGCATTGGTGGCGCACACCTTTAATCCCAGCACTCAGGAGGCAGAGGCAGGTGGATCTCTGAGTTCGAGGCCAGCCTGGTCTACAGAGAGAGTTCCAGGACAGCCTCCAAAACAATACAGAGAAACCCTGTCTTAAAAAAAAAAAAAGAGAGAGAGATTTGGGGGGCTGGAGTGGTTAAGAGCCCTGACTGCTCTTCCAGAGGTCCTAAATTCAATGCCCAGCATCCACGTGGCTCACAACCATCTATTGCAGAACGTGATGCCTTCTTTTGGTATGCAGATGAGCATGAAGACAGATGTGGTGGTGCACATCTGTCATGCCAGCTCTGAGCAAGGAACCGGGTCATGGATCCAATGTTGCTGGTCACAGTGGCACACACCTTTAAACTTAGCACTCAGGAGGCAGAGGCAGGTGGATCTCTGGTTTCCAGGCTAGCCTGGTCTACAGAGCAAGTTCCAGGACAGCCAGGGCTATGTAGAGAGATTATGTTGCAAAAGTAAAAAATAACCCGAGACTGTCATTGTCTGGAAATAACCTGAGGCCAGCTTGGGATGCATGAAACTTTATGGTGGGGGAAGACAGCCCCGATAGCTCTTACTACCTTGATAAGCACAACCCACGTTTTGACGGCTTGAGATGGCCCGTAATTCAGAGGTTCTTTGTCTAATAGGGATGAGAGCCTTGGAGAGTCAAGAAAGGAGAGGGAATCCTAGACATGATGTACAGTGGCCTCATGGTCATGAAGTTACCTGATGCCCTGACCCAGTTCCAAAATAGGCCAAGCTGTGGCCTCCTGTCAGAAGAGAGGTGGGACATCCGGTGTGCCAGGAATGCAGCTACCGAGTCAGCACTGTGGCCCGGAGGGCACCTCCTCCCTGAAGCCACTCTGGATGAAGTGGGGGGGGGGTTTGCTTCTGGACTCTGTGTGAATGGCAGAGCCCCCCCTCCCCCCATCCTGCAACCTGGTTAGTGGAGAAAGATTCTGTTACCCCCTCGTCTTGAGTGTGCAGTTCTGCTGTTTGGGAAGCTGCTGCTGTTCACTGAAGGCAAGCCCAAGGCCAGGCTCTACGCTGCCACCCGGCCACACACCCCAGGGGTCCATGCAGCTGTAGAGAACAGGAATGGGATATCCACCCTGAAGCCACAGGCTGGAATAGGGCACCATGGCCACTTCCCGAAGTCTCGTTCTGGTAACATTCTAGATGTAGGAAGACGTGGCTGTTTCAAGGGACTCACCTTCTGAGATCCTGGAGGCTAGGAACACCCGTGTGTGTCTCTAGGCCTTTCTTAGGGTTACTCTGTTTCCAAGTCTCCTTTGGGACAGTGGTTTTTATAAGGTAACTCTTGCCTTGGGACATTATGACTCAGCTTCAGGCTATCTCTCTGGAGCTCCTGACCTAGAAGAGACATAAGATCAAATAGGTAATTATTAGTGTTCAGGGCCAGGGTGGGGCTGGCCCCATGACTCACCAGCTGCTCTATGAGGGTTCCCACACTGAGGAGTCTGCATTGGATCTTTGTTTCTATTTATGTTCTTTCGTATAATGCATCCCAACCGACCACAGCATCCCCTCCCTCCGCTCTTCCAGTACCACACCCCCTGACCCGGATCCATTGCTTCAGAAAAGAGCAGGCCTTCCAGGGACGTCAACCAAACAGCATCACAAGATGAGACGAGGCTAGGCACAAATCCCCATGGCAGAGCTGGATGAGGCGACCCGATAGGAGGGAAAGGGTCCCGAGAGCAGGCAAGAGAGTTAGACGTCCTTACTCCACTATTAGGATTCCCACAAGCCCCCCAAAGCAGTCACAGCGCAGGATTGGGGGCAGACCCATGCAGGCTCCGTGACCGCCACCAGTCTCCGAGAGGCCCCACGAGCCCTGCTTAGTTGATTCTGTGGGCCATGTTCTGGTGTCCTTGACCCTTCTGCCTCCCACTGTCCTTCCTCCCCTCTTCCTCGGGGTCCCCTGAGTTGTGCCTAATGTTTGGGTGTGGGTCTCTGCCTCAGCTCCTGGAGGAAGCCTCTCTGACGTCAGTCGGGCTAGCGCTGATCTGTGAGGACAGCAGAGTATCATTAGGAGTCATGTCATCGACTTTATTTGTTCTTGTAGGAAGTGTCTGGTTCTACACTAGGTCTCTGAGACATCCAGCTTCCAGTTCCTGTCAAGCCAGGCAGTGTCGGGCTCCCTCTTGTGGGCACGGGCCTCAAGGTAGCAGTCATTGATTGGCCACGCCCACAAGCTCTGAGCCACCACTGCCCCAGCCAGTACACCTCACAGGCAGGACAGGTTGTGCGTCGAAGGTTTTGTGGCTGGGTTTGTGTCCCTGTCCTACCACTGGATGATCTCTTGCCTGGTTACGGAAGATGGCTAGTTCAGGCTCCGTATCCTCCATTACTTACTCCCTAGGGTCACCCTCATGGGTTCCAGGAAGTTTCCACTGTACTCTCAACCCCAAGCCAGACAATGGTGGCACACACTTAATCTCATCACTCAGGAGGCAGAGGCAGGTAGATCTCTGAGTTCAAGGCCAGCCTGGTCTACAGAGGGAGGTCCAGGACAGCCAGGGCTACACAGAGAAACCCTGTCCCGAATAAACAAATCTTAAACTCATACATACACAATTGCCCTCTGAAATAATGATGGTGTCTTTTCTAAAGACGACACTGGCCTGGACATGAAGTTAGTACAGTGTGACTCACAGGCACCCCTAACGTGCACCTGCCTCTTCACTGCTCCCGGTGCCCAGCTTAGGGCACACCAGCCAGTCTGACCCATGGAAGACACTTCGGTGAATGGTTTGGTCCTCCACTTGGAATGTGGAGCCAGAAGCACACCATATTCTGCCAGCAACTAACTTTGAGGCCGCCATAACTGCAAAATGGGCATGTGCTCTTCAGACTGCACTCGCTGATTTTAATTATGTGAGTATGCGTGTGCCTGTGTGTGCACGTGCAGTCTTCTGATCATGAGGCAGTTTTCAGGGTGGTTTTCACCTTCTGCCATGTGAATTCTAGGGATCAAGTCCAGCTCGCCAGGCTTGGCAGCAAGTGTCTTTACCTGCTGAGCCATCTCACGGGCCCAATAATCCTCACTATGCAGACCAAGCCGGCCTTGAGATCACAGGGGTGCACCTGTCCCAAGTTCTGGGCTTAAAGACGTGTGCCACCATGCTTGCCCAGCCACGATGGCTTTTTCTGTGGGTGCCGGGGGACGTGAACTCAGGGACTCTTGCTTGCACATCAAGCGCTTTACTGACTCAGTCATTACCCGGTCCCATCTTAACACTTAATAGCACAATGCTTTCTCAATGTTAGGCAGCCCGCCTCCAAAACCATCTCTCAACGCCGCAACTGTGACAGTGAGCCGTACGTCCTCACGGCCCTCCCCCCAGCCCCTGCAGCCACCTCTGCACGTCTCTAAGGTTAATACTGTGAGCATTTATCTCTTTTCTTTTTTGCACGCCTGCTAGGCCACGCCCCAGCCCAGGACCTCCTCGTCTCTCCATGACTGCATTATTCCACTTAGCAGGTGTCAGGAGCTCCCGTTCCAGGGCTGAATGACCCATTGTATCCACTCATCTGTGGGTGGAGGTTGTGTCCCTGCCCTCCCCTTATTTTTGCACTTGTGTAAAAGCTGATATGAAGGGCCAGGTGGGTGTGTTGGCACACACCTATCATCCCAGCACGTAGGAGGTGGAGGCAGGAGATCAGGAGTTCAAAGCTCATCTGGAGTGCTTGGAAGAAAGAAAAAGAAGAACTTTGTGTAGAAAAAGTCACTGGTTCACTTTCAGGGCTGTAGCGGCCTTTGGTGTGTGTGGTGTATGTATTACGTGTGTGTGTCTGTGTGGGTGCATGCATGTGCATGTGTGTGTGGGTGTGTGCATGCATGTGTGTCTGTGTGCGTATGTGCATGCGTATGTGAGGAGTTGATGTCGGTGTCTTTGATAGCTGAATCAATCAAGTTCTCCCATTGAACCAAAGCTCATTCATTTGCTGGACTGGCTGGTCAATGAGGCTCTGGGATCCGCCTGTCTATGTGGTCTGCAGTACTGCAATTTCAGACATGGTGCCCACTACCCCCGTCTAAGGTCACCACCTCACCGTGAGGGCTGGAATCTGAGCTCAGGTCCCAGTGTAAAGCAGGCGTTTTTCCAACTGCACCATCCCCGTCTGGGGCCATCCCCCCAGGTCCCTGACGCCCTTCTGACAAACAGGATCTTCCCAGCTTCTGAGCTGTCACCCTCCAGATTTCGTCTCGTTTTCCACGCCGCACAGTCTCTTGGGAGGCACACTGAAGTGCTCAGAATTTCGATAATGAAACACAGCGCATCTTCCCAACACACATACCAGCTGCATCTTCCCAACACACATACCAGCTGAGCATCGCTGAGCCCCCCCCCCCAGCCAATGGAGTTGCAGACTGCACAGGGTTGTTGAGACACACTGGAAGGAGCTGGGTGCTGCTGTCTCCACCTCTGTGCAGGCAGGGAGCAGACACTGACTTAATAACGTGACTTGGCGTTTTGATTTGGGTTTGTTTTGCTTATGTATTTGAAGTTAGGAAATAATCTCTCTTGGCATGCATTTGTGTGCATGTGGGGGGGTGCATTTGCATGGGCGTGCTTGTGAGTAGAGGTCAGGAATTGACATCAAGTGTGAGCCTCTCACTTGAGCCCCGAGCTTGTCAAGTCCGCTCCTCAAGCTGGCCACATCGCTTGGAGGTTCCCTGTCTCTGCCTGGCAAGCACTGGGGCCGTGCGGTGGCTCACCCTTGCTCTTGAATGCAGTATTTTAGTTCTAGAATCAAGTGGACCTGGGTAGCTTGTGTGTTTTCATTACACACGCTACTGTCTGGTATCAATGACAATCAGGGCATAGTTGCCTTATATCCCATATACCGTGTGTGTGTGTGTGTGTGTGTCTGTCTGTCTGTCTGTCTGTCTGTCTGTCTGTGTGTCTCTCTGTGTATGTCTCTGTGTGTGATATGCATGCATGCGCGTGTGTCTGTGTCTGTGTGTGGTATTCGTGCATGCGCATGTGCGTGCGTGCGTGTGCATGTGCGTGTTTGTCTGTGTCTGTCTCTCTCTCTCTGTGGTATTCATGCATGTGTGTGTGTGTGTGTGTGTGTGTGTGTTCGTGCGCAGAGGCCAAAAGAGGGCACAAAATTTCCTGGAGCTGCAGCTACAGGTGGCTGTGAGCTGCTCTTTGAGGATGTTGGGAAACGAATCTGGATTCTTTGAAGGAGCAGCACCTGCTCTTAACTGCTGAGCCATCTCTCCAACCCCTAGATCTCACCTCCTTTTTTTTTTCTTTTTTTTTGTGTTTTTTTTTTTTTTTTTGGTTTTTTGAGACAGGGTTTCTCTGTATTGTTTTGGAGGCTGTCCTGGAACTCGCTTTGTAGACCAGGTTGGCCTCGAACTCACAGAGATGCACCTGCCTCTGCCTCCCGAGTGCTGGGATTACAGGCGTGCGCCACCAACGCCCAGCTAAGATCTCACCTCCTTAACACATCTCCGCTTCCTCTCTGGCTTGCTGAAGCCCATACACTTTGGCACGTTGCATCTCTGCTTTGGATTTACTTGGTTTTATTTTACGTGTTGCCTGCATGTCTGTCTGTGGACCACATGTGTGCCCAGTGCCTGTGGAGGCCAGAGGGAGTCAGATCCTGGAGCTGGAGTTACAGACATCTGTGAGCTGCTGTGTGGGTGCTGGGAATTGAACCTGGGTCCTCTGCAAGAGCAACCAGTGCTTGTAACCAATGAGCCGTCTCATTTGTTCATCCCAAATTATTTTCTAATTTCCTCCCTAATATTTTTCTTTGGCCCTCAGCTTGCTAAAGAGCATACTTAATCCCCACACAGTTGTGACTTTTCCAGCTGCCTGCCTCCTGTTAGTAATCTGACCTCATTCCTCCATGATGAGAGCACATACCATGTACTTGGTTTGATTTATATCCTTTTAAATGTACTGAGACTTTCACAGGCACATATGGTCTGCCCCAGAGAATGTCCTACTTTTAGGAGAATGATATGTGTGCTTTTGCATGGCATCTTAAAAATTATTAGTTTTACGTTTTACTCTGTGTGTGTGTGTACCTGTGTGGTGGTCAGATTACCACCTGGGGGACTCAGTTCTGTTTTTCCAGCAAGAGGCCAGATGGCGTTTTGATCAGTAGCTGTGAGGTCTGATGGGTTTCCAGGGCATCTCCAGCATTGCCCTCTTGTCTGGTTGTTGTAACCCTGGGTGGAAGTGTGGTATTTTAGCCTCCATTGGGACCGTTGAGCTGTCCTGAGCCTGCCTTCGGTTCCTCCAGCGTGGCTTAGAATGTTCTGGAGCTTTGGTGCACACACAGGATTATAATGATGTCTTTCTTACATCTGGACCCTTTTCATCACAAGATCTTCTGCTCATCGCTGAATGGCACTGGCTGCTCTTCCAGTGGACCTGCATTCGGTTCCCAGCACCCACACCCACGCAAGGCAAGCGCACTGCCAACTGAGCTGCATTCCAGCCCCGCTAGGCAAGCTTTCTGTCTCACCGCCCTGCCTGTCCATCGCTCTCCGTTACCACCTTAGTTGTATTACGTAATGTAAGTGTTTTCTAGTGTGGCATTCCAATTCCCTTGTCTCTTATTATTTTATTTCTAGGTTTTGGTAATCCTGGGGGTGACCGTGAACATCTTAACAATAGAATATAATTTGAGCATTTAAAACAACATAATTTCAGTAACATATAAAAATTTAACCTGGCCGGGTAGTAGTGGCACACGCCTATTAATCCCAGCACTCGGGAGGCAGAGGCAGGCAGATCTCTGTGAGTTTGAGGCCAGCCTGGTCTACAGAGTTCCAGGACAGCCAGGGCTACACAGAGAAACCTTTCTATCTCAAAGAAAACAAAACAAAACGAAAAAACTTTAGCCAATCATAGTAGCAAGTGAGTGTATTTCCAGTCCTTGGGAGCTGAAGGCCGGAGGGTTAGGATTTCAAGGCCAGCCTGGGCTGCACGAGACCCTAGCTTGGGGGGGGGTGGATCTCTCTGTCACTCCTTTCCACCCTGCCCCTCACACAGATTACACTTCTGTAGGCGCGAGTCGGTCAGCACACTTCATTCCTTGTTTGTTTTGAGGTTTTAGTTTCTGGAGACAGGGTTTCTCTGTATAGAACTGTCCTAGAACTCTCTCTGTAGAACAGTCTGGCCTTGAACTTGGATCTGTTGGGATCAAAAGCGTTCACCACCACCTTGGTCCAAACAGTGTTCCTAACTACTGAGCCATCTCTCCACCCCCATCTGGATTACTATATCCTGCCCTTTATTTCAACTTAAAGGACTCTCTTTTGTCTTTGTCTTTTTCTTTTTCTCTTTTTTTTTAGCTATGGAGTTTGCGGTTTTTTAATTGAATCTCAGCAGTGACCAAACCATTTGTACTGAGATTAGATCCCAGCAAAAGACCTGGGAGAGGAGGGTTACACCGGCCTTGCTGTGCTGCCTGGAAAGGGTTTCTTTGGCCATGTATCCATCTGCTCACTGTGACTTCCCTGCGTGTCATGAGCTGTCTCTCCTCCGCTCTGGGATCCAGCACTTCCCCAAACCAAAGAAACGGCCCAGACAGTCATGGGGTCTGCTCGCCAGACCCAGGCAGCCACAGGCATGGGGTCAACTCAAGCTCACCACAGCTGAAGCTCACCAAGTAAACGCATAGACGCAGCACCTCAGAGCTGCTGCTCCCCACCCCCAACCCCCGGGTGTCTTCAGCACCCAGCGATCCCCCCCTCCAGCTGGTGAGGGCGCAGCAAGTGGATGGCGCCTCAGTCACTGTCCACCTGGAGGGGAGAAAAGCCCCACCTCTCCCTGCCCTTCAGTGAGATGAGCCTCACTCTCCAGCCCGTCCCGTCACAGTTCTCGGGCTGCACAGGCTGCACGCATGGCCCCGTCAGCGGCCAGCGCCTTCTGCACACTCTCGTGGGTTCTCTGGACCTCCGGGCTCAGCCCTCCCTAGCCCAGTGGGGTTGCCTGGCGGCTTCCTGTAACTGGAGGTAAGTGCCCACAGAGGAAGCCACGGGTGCAGACCTGTTGTGTGGCCTTCCGGCAGCCACTGACGAGCTAGGAGGTGGGTGGAAGTCTGGAAGGGATCCGGACCCTAGGGGTAGCACAGTGAGTTGCCCCTGAACAGCATGCGGGGGTGGGGGACACCAGAGAAGCGGCAGACTCACCGTGACACCGGCTGTGACGCAGACTCCTTGGAGCGCGTGCACCGGGGAGGAAGGGCAGGCAGAGCTGCGCCCGAACTGGGCTTGGGGTGCCGGGGAAGCAGCCAGCTGTTCGGGGTTAGTCTTTAAGTGTCCATGGGCCACACAGTCCTTAGTGCAGGCACCTGAGACCCTGCCTGCCCCGGCCCCTAAGGATGAGATTCCTCAGCTGGCTTGGAGGATGGCTCAGCCGGTGGAGAGCCAGCTGCTGTTAGAGCACTGGAGCGTGGTCCCAACACCTGTGTCCCGGGACTCGCAGACACCTCCAGCTCCGGGAGAGCGGGCCTCCGTGGGCTCCTGCGTTCGCGTGCACAGAAACACACAGGCACGCACGCACGCACGCACGCACGCGCACACACACACACAAGGAAAATCAAGCTGTATGAAGGGCCAGCTCAGCCTCCAGTGATGGTCCTCACGAGGGAAACCTGACAGAGTTGAGCTGCGGCTCAGTTATGCGCGCGTCCACCGGCGTGTACAAACTCGGGACCCAGCCCTAGTTCATCCAGATTTGGAGGTGGGCATCTTTGATCCCGGCACTCAGGAGGTGGAGGCAGGGGCATCACTGACTCTAGCCATCTTCAGGCTGGTTAGAGCCTCCCCTCCTTGAGACCCTGTCTCAAAAATAAGTGGAAGAAGAAAGCCAAACCGGACGCGGTGGCACATGCCTTTAGTCCCAGCACTGGGGAAGCAAGGTAGTTTGGGGGTGAGGAAGGGGTAAAGGGCATCCCAAAGGCTGGGCAGGGGTGGGAGGGGAGAGGTGGGCGGGGCGGGCGGAGTGATCTAGGTAAGAGTGCGTTCCCTCCGGGCTGCAGATTGGTCGGGATTTGGATGGATGGGCTGTGTCCTGCCTGGTCTGTGCTGGCCTGAGAGGTAGGAAGAGAGAAGGGAATAGTTGGGGTGGGTGGGGTAGCTGGGTGGAGACCTGCCTGCTGGCTACACACAGGTGACGCCCTGGAGGCTGCAGAAGCAGCTGGGCCTCAGCCCCTTCCCCTCCCCTGGGCCATTCTAGTCTCTACAACTCTTGCCCCAGTGACCTGGCTTCAGAGTTTCCTGGTGGTGCCCATCCTGGAGTGAGGGAGTCCCAGCTTGGAGGTCGTGCCTTCGGGGTCAGCGCGGCCCAGAGAGGCGCGCACTGAAGGTGGGAATGAACGTGAGGACGAGGGCCTTACCCAGCGGGGAGACACCAAAGCCCCACCAGAGCGGAAGGAGACCGCAGGTGGCTCACTCGAGGGCGTCCATCAGTCGTTTAGGGGTTCAGACACCCCCAGGAGGGGCTCAGCCTGATAACAAGGATGGCCCTGTGGAGTCCAGCATCGTTATACCTCGCTGGGTGTGAGTGTCCCTTCCCCCTTTTCCGCCCGGCTCAAAGATGCAATATTTAAAAAGCTTTTTGTTGTTTTTCGAGACAGGGTTTCTCTGTGTAACAGCCCTGGCTGTCCTGGAACTCTATCTGTAGACCAGGCTGGACTCAAACTAACAGAAATCCAGCTGCCTCTGCCTTCTGAGTGGTGGGATCAAAGGCGTGCATCACCAGTGCCTGGCTTAAATAGTTGAGATTTTATTATTTTATATGTGCGAGTGTTTGCTGGCGTGGATATCTGTGTGCTTACAGTGCCACAGAAGCCAGAGGAAAGCATCAAAGGGATGGAAGCTGCCAGGTGGGTGCTGGGAATCGAACCTGAGTCCCCTGGAAGAGCAGCCAGTGCTCTTAACCACAGAGCCATCTCCCTATCCTAAAAAAAAAGCATTTTTAAAAAATACCACCCTAAGCCGGGCGTTGGTGGCGCACGCCTTTAATCCCAGCACTCGGGAGGCAGAGGCAGGCGGATCTCTGTGAGTTCGAGGCCGGCCTGGTTTATAGTGCAAGTTCCAGGACTCCATAGTGAGACCTTGTCTCTAAGTAAGTAGTAATAAAACTATAATCAGGCTGGAGAAATTCAAGCACCCATCAACAGGAAAACGGATAGCCATGCTGGCATGCACACTGCTCCATGCCTGGCATGCCAAGTGCAGCAACTAAACCCTGAGACGCGCAGCAGTGTTTGTCCGTGTGGGCTGAAGGGACACAGACTCAAACTCGTCCACTCTGTAGCATGGATCACATGTGATTGCATGTGTAGCATGGGTCACATGTGATTGCATGTGTAGCATGGGTCACATGTGATTGCATGTGTAGCATGGGTCACATGTGATTGCATGTGTAGCATGGGTCACATGTGATTGCAGGAGAGCCGATCGTAGTCCACCAAATGACAGAAGCCTGAAGACTGGGTGTCTCCAGGGGACAGGGCAGAAGGGACAGGGACAGCTAAAGGACACATGATGCAAGAGTGAGTGGACGTATGTGCTTGTCCATTTACATGTGCTTGTCCATTTACATGTGCTTGTCCATTTACATGTGCTTGTCCATTTACATGTGCTTGTCCATTTACATGTGCTTGTCCATTTACATGTGCTTGTCCATTTACATGTGCTTATCCATTTACATGTGCTTGTCCATTTACATGTGCTTGTCCATTTACATGAGGAACACTTTTTTTTTTGGAGACAGGGTTTCTCTGCATTGCTTTGGAGGCTGTCCTGGAACTCACTCTGTAGACCAGGCTGGCCTCGAACTCACAGAGATCCGCCTGCCTCTGCCTCCCGAGTGCTGGGATTATTTTTCCTGGGTGATGGTCAGATAACAATAAAGAGTGGGGGGGAGGAGGGAGAGAGTGGGGGGAGGAGGGAGAGAGTGGGGGAGGAGGGAGAGAGTGAGGGGGAGGAGGGAGAGAGTGGGGGGAGGGAGAGAGTGGGGGGAGGAGGGAGAGAGTGGGGGGAGGGAGAGAGTGAGGGGAGGAGGGAGAGTGAGGGGAGTAGGGAGAGAGTGAGGGGAGGAGGGAGAGGACTGAGAGAGTGAGGGATGAGGGAGAGAGGGCTGAAGCACTCAGATGCAGGTGAGCAGAGAATTCTGGGCCAGTCCTGGAGAGAGAATGAGGTCTAGCATCTGTCACCCTTGGGGTGACTGTGTTCCTGTCACTGCCAGCCTGGGGGGGCCAGTCATACATGTAGAACCAAAGAGGGCGATGCCTCAGGCCCCGGGACCCCAGAACGATGGGCTCATGTGCCCTGACTGCAAAGAGGACTAAGGTAGGCAAACGCTTTTCTGAGAAGGGCCAGACAGCCAGTCTTTAGGTACCCGCAGTCGCCACCGCAGATGCTCGGTGCTGCCCTCTAGTGGGCGTCCCCCCAGAGCTCTCGGGCAGGCTGCCTGATGTGCCCAGCACAGCTTGCAATTGCAGTCAACTTCTTAAAGTCAGTGGCCAGACTTTAAGACGGTGCCTCGGTACAGCTGCACAGGGGTGTGGAAGGGGAGCCTAAACCACAACAGTCACGTGCCTATCAAAAATACACCTCAGGAGCTGAGAGGCCGCTCAGCAATTAAGAGCCCTGGCTGTTCTTCCAGAGGACCCGAGTTCAAGTCCTCCCAGCAACTCCATGGTGACCCACAACCATCTGTAATTCCAGTTCCAGAGGACCCAATGCCCTCTTCCGACCTCTGAGGGGGCCAGGCGTACACACAGGCAGAACATCCGTACAAATAAGAGTATATAAGTAAGTATGATACACCATGATAGTCATGTGCCTATCAAAAACATACTACGACGTGGCTTAGTGGCTAAGAGCACTTATTCTTGCAGAGGACCCAGGTTTGAGTCCCAGCACCTACGTGGCGGCTCATAACTGCAACTCCAGTTCCAGGGGATCTGAAGAGGACATCAGGCATACACGTGGTGCACACACACACATGCATGAAGGCAAAACACACATAAAAATAAATAACACACACACACACACACCAGGGTGCCCATGCGCCTATCAGAAAACTCTGGACTGAACATGGTTCTACTGCCTGCAATCCCAGCACTGATTATTGGGAGGCAAGAGGGTTAGGAGTTCAAGTCCAGCTTCAGCTGGATGAGGAGTCTGAGGCCAGCCTCGGCTAGCTACATGAGATAAGCCTGCCTCCAGCCAGGTGGCAACCAGATGGCATGCACACCTGCAATCCCAGCACCAGGAGGCTGAGGCAGAGGGATGGAGAGCTCCAGGGACAGTGTGGACAGTAGGATAAGACTCTTCTCAGGCAGGCGAGCAGCCGACCCTCGCTTAGTCGCAGTTGGTAGGGTTCTAGATTAATGCACAAACTGTGCGTTCTCTAGGAATGGGCAGTCCAAGATTTAAAAAAAAAAAGAAATTAACAACAAAAGCGTTGCAGAACCTGGTGTGGCATCATACTTTACAGTCCCGGCACGGGGAGGCGGGGCAGGAGACTGAGGCGTTAAAGACTGCCATCAGTTACAGAGTGAGAGTCCAGCCTGGCTGCATGACGGCCGTCTCAAGAAAATAAAAATGACATGCAGAAGTTGGCTATGGGCCAGTAAGATAGCCTGAGTTCAAGTTTAATCCCCAGGATCCCACTTTATGGGGCACCTCCCCTCAAAGTAATTTTTAAATTATTTTTTAAAAAGCCAGATATGAGAAGCTGGGCAGTGGTGGCGCACACCTTTAATCCCAGCACTCAGGAGGCGGCAGATCTCTGAGTTCGAAGATGACTCAGAGGTTAAGAGCGCTCGCTGCTCTTCCAGAGGTCCTGGGTTCAATCCCCAGCAACCACATGGTGACTCACAACCGTCCGTAGTGAGATCTGGTGCCTTCTTCTGGTCTGCAGGCACACATGCAGGCAGAATACTGTATACATAATAAATAAATAAATCTTAAAAAAAAAGAAAGAAAGAAAAAGAAAAAGAAAGCCAGCCTTGGCTGCATGTCCCTGTAATTCCAGTACAGGCAGTCAGAAGGGCAGACAGAAGAGGAGACATCCAACGTTGTCCCCTGGCCCCCACGTTCTCACACGTGAATAGATAAACACCCACACTCCTGTATATACACTGCACACACACACACACATACATACACACACACCATACACACACACCACACACACCATACACACACACCACACACACACACACATACACACACACATACACACACACACCACACACACCATACACACACACACCATACACACACACCACACACACACACCACACACACACACCACACACACACACACACACACCACAAAAAGTAAAACTAAAAGTAAAAAGACAAAAATACATGACTGTGAGTAGCACTCTGTGGTACAACACTTGCTGGGCATGCGTGAGCCCTGAGGTTCAACCCAGCCCCGAGGGAAAATGGAAAACTAAGAAGAGGAAAACACCAATTGAAGATTTGTTGAGAAAGCTTCCAGACATCATCTCAGAGAGAAAAGGCCTGAGGGAGCAAGGGGATCCCGCGTCTGTGGACCAGAAAACTCAGTTTGGTTTTGAAGTCACTACTCCAGCTAAACAGTCTGATGCAATGGCTCCCCAGTTTCAACTTTGTCGCAATTAGATTTATTTTCCCAAGT